ACAAAACCCAAAAACTTAAAAAATGCGATCTATTTTATTATTTGAAAGAATCCCACAACAACAAGGTCCTAGTAAAGAACATAAAAACATTGAATTGTTTAAGTACAGAATAAAGACTATAATTATGATAATACTAATAATAGAGGATATCTAATTATAGTGCCTTACTCTCGGTTTTAACCAGCTCAAAGTATGTTACATTAGTTTAGTCATTTAGTAAAATGTAGTATAAAATAACAAATAAGGTAGTAGCCTACAAGCCAAGACGGAATTCATAAGACTGAAAAACGTGTTCTACGTCATCAGTTTGTGACCCTCTCAAAAAAACAACCAACAAAAATACAACAACAACAACGGGGATCTGCAGTGATCATGCAGATCTGGGTCTTGTTGCTGGCATTTATCCACTTTTTCTTTTACCTTTTCTTCCCAGTCATGAGCAAAAACGTTCATCTCACCTCCCCACTCAATCTTACACTTTTCTTACAGAAGCCAAAGACACCCTTTCCCCTCTGAGGTGTAAGTTTATATTTTGAAGAAAGCCCCTATAGGCCTAGATCTAATACATTGAGGCATGTCGCGTACATGAGAGGCGGAGTAGGGTCGCTTTTCGAGGATCGCCGTAAAAATAGCCTGGGACTCACTGAGAGGGTGACACGGTGTAAGGAAATCTCCTGTTAGGGGGCGCACAGCTCCCAAAAAGAACACGCCTCATTGACCTTGGCCTTCCGTTATGGTCAGTACAGGAACTTCTTGCAAGGAAAAGAAGACAAGGCCAGGATAGAGAAAGATGAAAAGTGTCAGAAAAGAGCTAGATCTAGATCTAGAGTTGTAAACATGGTACTATTGCGCACCCAACCAGACGATATGTTGCACCAAACCAGAAACCTTGCGCACCAAACCAGACACACGTTACCAAACAAACACCACCACAACATATAGAAATTTTAAACTGCTGTTACAGTAATGCGCTACACCGTATGAGATAGTATATAGAGAGGAAGTTTTTCTAACTTCTGGTGAAAAAATCATGAAGATCGACCTGTAACTTCCAGAGATATCCACAAAAGATCCCTTACTGTATATCGCACCACAGGATATGTACTCTAGATCTATTCTAGAATATTTCTAGATATAGATATATATAGATCTAGATTAGTATTCACACACCCTGTGCGAATAACTACAGTCTTAACGAATGGAACTGGAAGTGGCTATTCTCACCCGCCCGGAAATTCTCGCAAGATCTACTCCTCCCCACTTCTCTCTCTCTCTTTCTGAATACTGTCTATCGGTGTGGACGATCAAATTGACCAAAACAAAGTTAAAAAATGATGTTAAAACACAAAGTAAATTAGATTCAAGATCTAGATCTAGATAGATTCTGATTCTAGATAATATCTAGATTCTAGATCTAATTAATAAATTTGGTTGTCTACAAAGATGCTACGGCGACGGCTATTTAACTTTTCGAATCGAGCCGAATGGAACTAATCTACAAGATCACTGATTCTAGATCTATTTCTAGATCTAGATCTAGATCTAGATTCTCTAGATCTAGTATGAGGTATTCTGAACAGATGTAGAAATGAAATCTAAACAGCTTTCGGGATACCCAGCTTTCAGCGACCAAAGTATGTCATCTTGGGTCTTGATCTAGAATTTTACCTTGGTCAAGATCTCGATCAAGAGGGATGAAGGAAACTTGCTGCTATGCTGTCAACAACGGAAATCGAGCGACTTCCTCTTTCGAAATTGGTGTCGGAATAGCATAGACCAATCAAACTGTTCCATTTTTTGTGGATCAGACAATATTACTGGATAGGAATTGATTGTAAAAATTAGTTTTTCTATTTTCACCAGCCAAATGAACTTGCATGGAGAGGAGTGCATAGAGGAATAACGGCTTCGTTGTGAAACGGGTAGAATACCGGACCAGCGGACTGACTTTGCCTATGTCTCAACCTTACGAATTCAGAATTTTCCCGTTTTTAATATCTCTCAATGGAGAATCTCGGACCGGTAGATTTATTCATTAAAATTTTGTCAGGGAGGAGACCCCCCTGTACGCCCCTCCCCCCTCCTCCATCCCAACCACCCGCCCCACCTACCCCACTTTCTCGCGCAATAATGTACGAGTGGTCCGGTATTCTTCAATCTTCCCGTGAAACGTCTTTATTTAAAATGGATGAACATAAGGTGACGTTATAGTTTTAGGCTACCATGCAAGAAGAGTAATTGACCAACTTTAACTATCTGCACTCCGTCCTCTCTTTTTTTCTCTTCAGATCAGAGGTTACGCAAAAAGAAAAGAAAAAGAAATGGCAAGCGCTATTTGCAACGCTGTGTTCTATAGCTCCCGTGCTATTTGAAACGCCAGTACCTAGATCTAGATCTAGATGTAGTAGCCATCGTTTCTACATGATAATATTGTAGTTCTGTCTGAATTGTGGAAGCTTTCTCAGTTTTTTGATAAACCTCCTAGGATTTGACTCCTTTTTTTATGACGTTGTCTTATTCCGATCAATACTGGGTAGATCTAGATCTAGAAAAATCTAGATCTAGATTAGATCTAACAATTGTTTCTGACATTGTTTGTACAAAAGTAGACGTCTTGTTCATCTCTCATAATCATAATCATCTGAGTTAGAGTTTGAGCAAGTTTAAGTCGAAAGACGCTTGGATAACAATAACAAGACGGTGCAACTCGAACTTTAAGTTAGGCCTAGAGAATGTATACGAGCTGTCTACTGTCTACGTTCTTTAAGTCTAATATTCAGTGCTTCCAAGCCATCGAATCCCGGCCCCGAAATGTTTGTTTTTTTCCTTCTCCTGAGCCTAAAATAAAAAAAAATAAAAAAATTGACTCACAGACCAAGGAAAGCCACTATAACTGAACTTTAACCAGGTAAATGGGTAAAAGGAAAAGTATAGGCTATACTAAGGCCTAAGGCCTACTTTGTACAGAGCTCCTCTTGGGGACAAAACCAGAATGTGCATGCTTCATCACTACATTAAAAAAACCTACAAACAGCAAGATATAATTATGGGAACAATTTGTTGGTCAGTCGAGAAGAGGACAACAACAACAAAAAACAAAACAAAAAAAAAACAAGAACAACCCAATAACGTCCAGGACCGGGATCGAACCCACGCTAAGAAAATAATGGTTTGACTTCAAGAGCAGACGCGTTGTCAATTCGGCCATCAGAACTACCGATAACGATGTGCAGATTAAGCTTGATATTGATATTACACGGTGACACGGCGTTTTATTTAGCACTGGCGCTAATCGCAACGCGGCGTTTTATTTAGCACGGGCGCTAATCGCAACGCGGCGTTGCAAATAGGCACTTCCAAAAGGGAAACGTAAGCCTGCCCCCGTGGTTTTATGCACCCTGCATAATTTAGCAAAATTTATCATTTTTTGCTTAATTTCTGATTATTTTCCTTTATCATTCTTTGTTAAAATTAACAGAATTGCATAATTTCATAATTTTTCTTGCTTAAAACGACGGGGACTGGTAAGCTGGATAGTTTTCGTGTGTGTGTGTGTGTGTGTGTGTGTGTGTGTGTGTGTGTGTGTGTGTGTGTCTCTGTGTGTGTCATTTGACGAAATAACTAATGAAAAGTCGAGAGTATCCCTCATATTCACAATTCAGTGTACAGGGAAATAAACACAGGGTACTCCGTTTCAGACAGATACTTTCAAACAATTATTTCCCTTGACTCAAGAAAAAAACTAACAATCCAATTGACGAAATCCTCCTTGGGTTGAAACTGAAACGTCAACCAGCTTCCAACTGCCAACCTCCTACTTACTTACGGTGGCCTTGTGGTTAGGCTCTCGGACTCGCAACCGTTTAAGGTCGTGGATTCGAATCCCGTCAGGGGCCCGACGTTGTGTCCTTGGGAAAGGCACTTTACACTTCACCCAGGTGGGAAGGGGTAGGCCTCCAGTTATAGACAGCGAAAGATCTTTGTTAGTGTTTGAGCGCTTAATCATGCAGCTGCTAGCCTAGCACTGTATGCTTCCCAGGAAGCTGAGAATGTTTCTGAGTATTTTATGGTCTGCTGGGGTAATAATATAGCGTAAAGCGCGTAGAGCTTGCTGTTGAGCGGGGTATTCGCTGTACAAATGCTATTTATTATTATTATTATTATTATTATTATTATTATTATTATTATTATTATTATGATGATGATGATGATGATGATGATGATGATGATGATGATGATGATGATGATGATGATGATGATGATGATTATTATTATTATTATTATTATTATTATTAATATTATTATTATTATTATTATTAACCATCAGGTACATACGGCGTAGAGCAGTGACTGTCCCTGGAAACGTCCTCCAATTTAAGAAAAACCAGGCCATGAGTGATTGCCTCCTTGAGCCTCTATAGCTT